TTGAAAAATGGCAAAAAGGAGGGAAAATTCAAAAGGTGGGATTGAGATGGCAAGTTAGTGCCCGAGGGGATCGAAGTCACGATAGCTCAAGTGGTAGAGCAGTGGCGTATCAAGCCGAAGGTCGTGGGTTCGAATCCCGCTCGTGACACTGACTTTTTATCTCAACTTAAAAACTTTAATTAATTGAATGTTATTAATTGGTCAAGCAAACCACGAAAAATAGTGAATTTAATTTCGCTGAATGCTTTACAAAATATCGATTATTCTTATAACGCATCAGTTTTTTAGGCAGTAGTGGATTTTGGGGATAGTTGTTAAATAAAGCAAACAAATAAAGTAGGTCCCATTTACGACATTATTTATTGATTCGTGGAGTTGTCGATAATTGTTAAAAGAGAATTGATAATAAATATACTTTAGTCCCTACTGTCAACTACAAAAATAGCAACATTTTTAAGTTCCATCAACACTGATAACTTGCTGTTAAGTTCAGGCAATTTTTACAAACTACCTCCTAAACATTCGCCGCATGCTTTACAAAATATCGATTATATCGCAACAGTTTTTTTAGGCTGTAGTGGATTTTTTGGCTAGTTGTTAAATAAACATTTACGAGATCATTTAATGATTCGTAGAGTTGTAGCTAATTGTTAAAAGAAACTGATAATAAATACATATACATATTAAACATGAGATGATGTATCGACCTGCTGTTGTACAACTTGGAAAAAAAGATCTTCGGTGAGGTCACAACAGAACGACAATTCTTTAAGTTTTTGCCGAGCTTTTGAGGATTATATCGTCATCACCAGGGCCCATTTATTTTAAGAAATATAGCAGTAAGAATATATTGTATCATTAAAAAATAAATAAAAAACAATTATTTTCCTTACTTTAACCCGATGAGTGTTGAAATATATCTTGAGAACAAGAAACTGCATCATTATTTAAAATTAGGTGAAGCTGAAAGACTGAAGATCCTTTTTTCCAAACATATACATATGTAAGTGATAACAAATATAATTTAGTCCATGTTGTCAACTACAAAAATAGCAATATTTTTATGACCCATCAAGCATTGATAACTTGTTAAGTTCAGGCAATTTCTACAAGCTACTCTCTAAACATTTCGCCGAATGCTTTACAAAATATCGATTATTCTTATATCGCATCAGTTCTTTTTAGGCAGTAGTTGGTTTTTTGGCTAGTTGTTAAATAAATCGATTCCTAATTGATGGTAATTATTGGACTCCTGCTCTCAAGTTTTGAAAATTTTGACTCTTCTCGTACTACAAATCTGACATCTACCATTATCACAAATAAAGCAGGTCTCATTTACGTCATTATTTATTGATTAGTAAATTTGTGGCCAATTGTTAAAACAGACATGATAATAAATACATATACGTATGTATGTGATATAAATATACGTTAATCCCTGCTGTCAATTAAAAAAAATACAAAAATACCAGTATCTTTATGGTTCATCACCAATGATACTTGCTGTTAAGTTCAGGTAATTTTTACAAACTACCCCCTAAACATTTCACTGAATGCTTTACAAAATATCGATTATTCTTATATCGCAAGTTTTTTTAGGCAGTAGTGGGTTTTTTGGCTAGTTATTAAATAAATCGATTCCTAATTGATGGCAATTATTGGACTTTTGCTCTCAAGTTTTGAAAATTTTGACTCTTTTCATGCTACAAATCTGACATCTACCATTATCAAAAATAAAGCAGGTCTCCTTTACGACATTATTTATTGATTCGTCGATTTGTGGCTAATTGTTCAAAATCAATAGCTTCGTGTTAAATATTGCAGCGCCTCTCTATAACACAACTCAGCAATTTTGGAACCTCCTAAATTTCTAGTTTTATTCCAACTGTAAAACAAATGATGAGTTAGTTAGGCCTATTATTATAGCATAAACTAGCGTAAATCTAGTGTGTATACATTACTTTGTAATTGTACTTTGTGCGCAATTTATTGGTAGTTTAAAATGATTCATATTTCTAAAAGGAAAACTTAAGACAAACATTCGGATGCTCTTTAATTTAGCCAAGGAACCAATTAATCTGCTCCCTTGTTTTCTGGGTTTTCTCTGTCTTAGGCATTAAAAACAAAATTGGATAGGCGCTTCGTTTAGGTTACTGTCACATCTCCATTTATGCATTTTTAAAGCTAATCATCCTCCAGGCTTATCCGAGCTTAAAATAAGCTTCGACACGGAGTCTCTCTAAGCCGAATTTGTCCATGGGCCCATGGATGTTAAGAAAAGGAAAAGGCAAAGATAGAGAGACCAATCGATTACGTACACGCCACGGTTGATGTGACAAGCGAGCAATTAGGCGTTTCCAAGTGGTGAGAATCCAATGCTCAAAGGGTGTTTCAAAGGGTGACATGTGGAAATCATGAGGGGTGTCTTTGCCGCCGGGTTGGGGAAAACTTTCCCGTTCCAACCCGGTCGGGAAACGCGGAGTTGGTGTTCTTGTTCACTTTTGACAGCGCTTTCCAAATGAAAACGGCCCGTCGGTAACGTGATTACACATTCGTCCGGGCAAAATGGCTCGGTTATAATTATTCTCTCTAATAGGTTACTGCGATTCGTATCACTGATGACATTTCGCACTTGCTCTGATGTGAAAAGCATGAAAAGCAATAAATCTTTATTTAACCAGTTTTAAAGGTTTCTGTTAATTTTATTACTGATCTATGACGATAAGGTGATAATTTTTTCAACAACCTGTTCAAAATATCAACCATCGGAGTGTCGATGTTTTTGAAAAAAGACCATTTTTAAGTATATCGGCTTTGAAAACAAGGCCGCTGGATTGGAATCCGGGACATTTACCTTAAAGTGATGAAATCGACGGAAAGCGGCCTATGTTTACGGACCATGATATATGATAATATAAAACGAATTGATTTTTTGTAAAGTAATCAGTCGGATTTTTTGAGGAAGTATAGAAATCTTAAATCTGATAGAGTGACCACTGATTATGGACGATAAAGAAATTGCATTTTTTAATAACTGGCCACAAATCGCAAATGAGATAAAAGAATATTTAAGTTTTCTAAAGGTTTTAAAGTTTATTAAAGTTTGTGGTCGCCATTGTTGATGGCGTATAGAAATTATCCAAATTTCCACTGCTAATGTGCACGACACTGAAAATAGCATTTTTTTCCACAACCTGTCCCAAATTGAAGACCACAAAAACAGGAAATTATATAAGATTTTTTTCTCTAAAAGTAAGCAGGTTTTACGATGGTAGTAGTTTGGTAGAAATGACCAGAATTTGACAGAAAGAGACTTTATGTAGATGAACATAGATAAATAGACTTTTTCTAACAACTGGCCACCAATCGCTCATTGCTCCAATAAAAAAAAATGTGATAAAAGAATACTTAAGTTTTTTTTAAAGGTTTCTTAAGTTTATTAAACTTTGTTGTCGGAATTTCTATGGGTGGTGTATAGAAATTATCCAAAGTTCCACTGCTAATGTGCACGACACTGAAAATAGCATTTTTTTTCCACAACCAGTCCCAAATTGAAGACCACAAAAATAGGAAATTATATAGGATTTTTTTCTCCAAAAGTAAGCAGGTTTTACGATGGTAGTAGTTTGGTAGAAATGACCAGAATTTGACAGAAAGTGACCTTATGTAGATGAACATAAATAAATAGACTTTTTCTAACAACTGGCCACCAATCGCTCATTGCTCCAATAAAAAAAGATGTGATAAAAGAATACTTAAGTTTTTTTTAAAGTTTTCTTAAGTTTATTAAACTTTGTTGTTGGAATTTCTATGGGTGTTCTATAGAAATTATCGAAAGTTTCACTGCTAATGTGGTTTTTTTATATAGTATTTTTTCTATGTATATTATACCCTGGTTGTGGGCATCTGCCTGTTGATAAATAAATAAACTTAAACAATAGTAATGGGGTTAAAGTTAAAAGCGAAAATGTTTATAAAGACGTTTATGTAGAAAGTCAACTATGTTGATAGGGATGAATGAATTTCTTTAAAAGTAATCATTGTAATTTCCGGAAAGAAATATGTACAAATTATAAGAACCTTAAAGGTTTATAAAGTTTATTAAAGTTTGTGAACGAAATTTCTGTTGGTGGTGTATAGAAATTATCCAAAGTTCCATCTCTAAAGTGCACGGTACTAAGCAATTGCATTGTTTTCAACAACCTGTCCAAAATCAAAGCATTCAAAAATAAGAAATGATATTATATAAGAATGTTTTTTTTGTAAAGTAAGCAGATTTTGCTATGGTAGTAGTTTGGTAAAAGTGACCAAAATTTGACAGAAAGTGACCTTATGTCGACAAACAATAAATTAATTGACTTTTTCTAACTACTGGCCACAAATCGACCACAATACCAACTACAAAAACATTGCGATAAGTTTTTGAAAAGTTACAATGTACAACCATAAATGTTGATAGATCATAAAGATATTGGTATTTTTAACCACTGGTCAAAAATCTGTCATCCGTGCCAATAAAAATGTAAAAAAAGGTTACAAGCTAGAAACTCAAGACTGCATAGATAAAAATGATGTAATGTAATAATAAGAATTTATTTTTTTAAACTTAGAAGTTGGAATTTGGTTAGGTGGTGTATATTGTCAAAAGTTGGCAGTAAAGGAGAAATATGACTAATATTGGTGGACCATGACTGTTTAATACAAACTAGCTAAATATCCACAACTGCATCTGTTATCTAACCAGATTCCTTATTGAGCAAGTGTCAAATGTTGTTTATCGATGTGTCAGTTTGGCAGGCAAGAACCGTTGCCCGTGCTGGTTGTGGCAAAGCGCGATGCTTGGATGTCATCATTAGTGAATGAGGGGAGGAAAGAAGGAAGCGATTTCGGAAACGGTCCCTCCGTCCATACAAAAAATAAGGTTTTTGGCGGTTCCTGGGATGTTCACTGATGAGGGGCCATCTGGGACTACCTCTCCCCACCATGAACAATTTCTAGTCCCTGCTCTCTATCTTCCGACGGAGCTGGCATACGTTCAGTTCCCTTTCTACGCACACACGCGTCGTACAACCCCACCAAAGGATACCAGCAACGGTACGTAACATCGGTCTTTTTTATATTTGAATTTTGTTTATTCTATTCGGCCTTGTTATGACGTATATGGTATGCCCCACTCCTCACCAAAAATTAGGCAAATTTAATTTATAGATTTGTTTTGTCACAACAATTCTCAGCTTAAAACAACAATTATATTCAACAGACACATTACAACTTTGAAAATTTTGTCTTCTACGAAAAAAATTCACATATGCCAAAACAACTTATGACCTACCATAACTTTAAAATTACCTTATAGTTAGTTGGTCTAGCTATGGATGGATCAACAAAAAATATTCAAATACAAACTTTTGAAATTAACACCTGTATTCATATATAAAACGTTTTGTTGACGTAGTTTTTACGCAATACTGACGCGCAACAATGATCAATGTTAAATTATTTTTACAGTCTTTTTTTAATAGATAAAAGATTGTTTATACGATAAAAGATATTGTACTTTTATATCAACCTTCATACGTTGTAGGACCTTCGTCTGTTATGCAATAAGTCCAGGAGGACAAAAACAACACAGACTGCGTGATCTGTAGTTATAAACATCAGAGAATAAATTAAATGCAAGTGCAATAATTATATCCTGGAACAACAATCTTAAATTGTTCAAAATAGACAGCTTATACAGAGAAAATTGATTGAAAATCGAAAAAGCTAGATTTTATTTTAATTTAATTATTAATTATATTTATTTATCTATGTATTGAGCTCAGGATTAACGGTTTTTATCATGCTTTTCTGCATTAGTGTGCAAATTTTGGAGGGTAGATGATGAGTCATTTTTCGAAAAGTTTTATTAAAACTCCAAATTTGTCATCAAATAAATAAATAGAATATGTACGGTTTTTAAAAATATCGTTCCTTATAAAGATTAGAGGGTTAATCTAAATAAAACCAATCGTGCAAATAAAATTGTCAATGAAGAGAACAGCGTCAATTTAGTCAACAAGAGGACAGTTCTCGGAAGTTGAGTCGGTAGTAAAAAATATAACGTGAGTCAATGAGGGCGCCATGGTCTAAAAAAAATATGTTTCTTCATGCCTATAGAGATAATCTCTATGGGCCGGAAATTTCGCCTAATCAATCTTAAGACGTGATTCAAGATATTAAAACAAACAAAAAAATTGCGGGAAAAAAACCCGCACCCGGAAAGCTCAATTCCTTATAACCTTTTACACATGTGGAAGTCGCGTTCCTGTTGCCAAAGCGCCGACTTGGGAGACTTGCGATGTGACAACATAAAATGGATCGACAATTTCCGGCCAAGGGGAAACATTTGTACCAAGTCGAAATTTTAGGAAGTGTTTGTTTATCAAATCAAAACGCCGAAGGAAGTTTCAAGCTTAAAGGTTCTTCAACTTCTAGGGGAAATTTGGCAGGATTTAAGTCCTATTTCGGACAAGAGGGCGTAAAAAAAGGCGGGAAGTATAGGCCATAGACGTGTGACGGACGACCAGTACAGCTGGCCGGCAATTGAGATTTTGAAAAGTTACAGACTTTCTTTAGATTTCGCTCCTTTCACGCAGAAAGTCAGTACTGAACTTTCTCTATAATTTAAAATTATTCAAAGTAAAACATTTTTCCCTACCTGACGTTCTCTGTCTTTAAAAACTCCCACCAGTGGAATAATTAAATGATTTTAATTCTACACACACACACACACACACACACACACACACACACACACACACACACACACACACACACACACACACACACATAATAGATATATAGACTCAATATTTTAGAATGTAGAAAATTGTTGCCACTCTTAGTTTTATACAAAATTAAAATTTTATAAAAAAAAACTAGAAGCAATTTATTGAACCTAAACTTGATGTTTATTGCAATAAAGCCACTCGGCGAAACCAATTTTGTCAAAAATTTATATAAAATCCTAATAATTTTAGTAGTGGAGGTATTGTTTATAATAAATTTTTGCATGACTGATTATAGAAATTTTACATTTATGGTTAGTTTTTATAGAATAGAACTCCAGGTCTATGATTTATTTACGCTGGCTCAAACTTGTGTATATTTTTTTTGTATAAACGGCATAAATAGCTAGAAAGTTGAAAAATCTTGGCCCGACCTACAATGCCGGGCTGTGAGAAGGAGGAGGTCTAAATTTAGACCCGGTGATTCTGCAATTGCAACACTTTCTGGCACCGCCTCCGCCCCCGTTCGCTAATCGGCTTCAACCTGATCAAATCGCCTCCTCAAATTCAATTTAATTAATTGAATTAATTCGCTAAGCTGATTACGTTTCAAAGCGCGAGGGGTCGCGGGAAGAAACGTTCACCCCCCCGCCATCCGGGTGCGTCGAATTTCCTCTCAGGAATGTAAACATTTGAGGCGATTGATTATATGGAAACAAATTGAGTCTCAATATTACAATGTATTGGCGGTAAACTGCACAACAGTTAAAGGTTTGAGACAATTTACTCCTAATTTACAAGATAATTGCTTGGATTCAAGAATGCGTATGGCATTACCTCATCATAAATGTTATTTAGATGGCTGTCACTGTCATGTAGTATACATATCCTTTACATCTTCCTTTTATTCAGCATTCACGATGGTTCCTCTAGGAACTACTCCTCCTTCTACTCTGCCGACCTTCATCTCAATATCACAACCTTATGCCCCGATGTCACATCTATTCTTATTTATAACGCCGTTCCTGTATCCAACTCAAAGCCTAGAAACACTGCTTCACACTGGGAAAATTAAGCTTTTAAGCACAATATACTTCATTCTAGAGAAAAAATATTCCTCCCATTTAACTCAACCTTATTTCTACTCCCACAACAAACCACGTACACTACTTAGGATTGTACCTAGACAGATGATTAAGCTGGAACTTAAAGAATGGACTAAAACTGCCCACTTAGATGCGAAATGATCATATGTCAACTAAACAGCATAAACTAAAGAAATGCTTACTCGTATAAGGACGTCTGAATCAGAACTTCATGGTACAACAAAGGACTTATTTTCTCGCTTGCAGTTCTTCCAATCCAAAATCCTTCTACAATGTTCTTCTATTCTAAGAATCGTCTGGTGTACAATAAACTGTAGCGCAGCACTACTTGCACCTATAGGACTTATGAACCAGAACTTCACGGGAGAACCAAAAACTCTAACCTTTCTTGCTTGCAGTCCTTCCAATCCAAAGAAAGTTCTCCTACAATGATAAATGCCTTGTTCTATACATAATCCACACTACTTGCACCTTTATGCCCCAACCAGTCCTTCCCACCCAAAGTCTTACGTACTCCCTTTGCTATGCAAGGAATCACCCATGGCCAACACCTAAGACTTTACATATCACTACTTGAATATAAGTGGACTTTTGAACTAGAACTGCACGGGACTGCAAAGTACTCAAATCTCCGTCCCATCCAGTCCTTCCAATCCAAAGTCCTCTGTACAACAGTAGATGCAAGACCTTTTCTATGTATGAAATAACATTATGGACTTTAACAGTACTGCTTGTACCTATATAACGAAAGAACCAAACTTCATGAGACAGCAAAGGGACTCAAACATTTCTCTTTTGAAGTCCTCCTACAATGGTTAAATGCCTTCTTCTATGTAAGGAATCAACTAATTGTTAACAACGTATAGAATTTAACAGTTTTACCTTCATCTATATTAACTTATGAACTAGTACATTATGGGGCGGCAAAACCCTCCAACCCTATTCGTCTTCCTCAGCACTATTATTTTACAAAGCAACTATTGGCTCGATTATGATTCCATTTTTTATGGTATAGCAGCTCCTGGTATATTCAAACCACTAGACTCGATACAAAATAAAGCCATTAAAATTTGCTTAGGGGAGCTAAACTCTACCCCAGTCGATGTCCTCCACAGGGAAACTAATGAACCCCCGCTTTCAATCAGAAGACAATGGCTAGCAGAAAAATATGTCCTCAAAACCTATTCCTTGAGGTCCAACTCTACCAAAAAATTCACAATTTGATGATAGAAGTTCTAAAATTTCCTTCTTGGATTAAAAAAAACAAAAAACAGCCAATTATTAGCACCTTAGGGTGGGAATGCCCCAGGTTATTCCAATCAATTCAAGCGAATAACAATCTACCCCTATTCAATCTCGAATTCTTCTCAACAATGCAAAGATCCCGTCTAATTATTCTACCAGATTTTTCCAAATCCCCACCCAATGAAGTAAACCTAAGATTCCGCGAACTCATCCACCAAAAGTTGTCGAACGCGACTATCATATTCACAGACGGTTCTGAAATGGATGGAAAATCGGGTGGGGCATACTAGGACTCTTTCAATAATAAATACGCATCGTACCGGTTATCAAATGAGTCCTCCTCGTTTACTTGCGAAATGTATGCAATTCTGTTGGCTCTTGAATACGCGGAATATATTGAAGACAGTCAGGTATTAATTTGTTCGGATTGTAGGAGTGCCTTATCCAGCGTCACGACCCCAAATCTTACAAAATCATATCGTACAGAATTGACCGTAAAAATTATAAATAAATAAATGATCTCCGGTATAAAGGAAAGCAAATTGTATTCTTATGGGTAAGAGGCCACTGTTCATTGAAAGGAAATGAGAAAGCCGACGAATTGGCCGAGTCAACTACAAAAAAATCAGAGATAGAAAAAGCCATCCCTAACCATCCCATTACGATGCCATCAATGTTATCAAAAGCAGACCGATTGCACAGTGGCAGAATAGATCATCAAACACTGGACCATGGTATAAATCCATCTTTCCGAAAGTCGGATGGGTTCCTTGGTTCACCAAAGAAACGTTTGAAAGGCAAGTCATTGTTACAATAGGCAGACTACGGTCAAACCACAGCATCTGTATTGCATACTTACACATGATAGGAAAGACAGACAGTGATCTGTGTACCGTATGCAACCTAATAGATAATGCGGAACATATAGTATGGCATTGCAGAAAATATGATGAAAAAAGGAAGACTATGTCCG